CTATATGATGACGGATGGAACATTATTAGGTAAGCATAAACAACGATTAAACTATGAATCATTTTGTCTTAGTTACGTAATTTCTACTCAAAAATAACAAATTTTTTTTTTTATTAATAAATAACTAATATTGTTGAAAAACTAACATTTGTTTTAGGTAGTTATACACATCATGATTTTTTACCATGGGATGATGATGTTGATTTGCGCATATTTATGCGTGATCGTTCACGTATGTATACTCTTCTTCATCAAGAATTAGGTCATACCATCAGAATATTAAATATTTCTAATCAATTTGGATGTTATGATATATTGTATTTTCCTTGGTCACCACAAGCTGGTGTATACAATTGGTCATATCCTAATGTTCATATTACTTATTTAGATGAAAATTCTACACATATATGGAGAGAATATAATGATGAACATTCCATTCATGATTGTTCTATTTCTAAACTTGATATATTTCCACTTGTTTGGCGTCCATTCGGTCAAATTTGGTTGCCTGTAAGTTTTGCTTGTGTGTCTTAAAATCAAATATGTTTTATCAAATCATATGTGATGTTTAGGCTCCTCGAGAACCTTTAGTCATTTTTGAATTACTTCAATGGAAATCATTGGATAAAATGTATTATGCCAAGAATTATTCACACAAATATGAACGAGAAATACCATTTATAGATGGTCGTGCACGACCACATCAACTTTATCCATATTATCCTTGGGTGAAACGATATTGTTTAAAAACATATTGTATTGAACAGCTTGTGGCAATTTACAATAATACAAACATTACAATACATACTGTGAAGTTTGAAAAATATAGAATGAAACTATCGTTTGATTCCAAATTAAAGAATAGGACTTGTTCATTATGATAGAAACAAGATTTATTTATTTAATTATTGAAATCTTGATGAAAGTAAAATATTTGTATGAACCAAAGAAGAAATAGTTCATGAATGTTAAAAAGAAAGAATTTATTTTACTAATGAGAACAAATTGGAATTTTAGAATATATGGTCCTTCCTTAAAAACTGTTAGCTGTATCATATTCAAGTTAAAGAAAAGATTTTAAGACAACTTAAGACTCAATATATCTTGCTAGACCTTTTGACTTCTCGATGACAATTAAAAAAAGTAACGTCTCATACACTTTAATTCAGATATTAGCTGAAAGCTCATCTAGAGATATATTTACACATGATAAAGATATTTTCTTTTTCCTTAGTAATATTCTTATTTTTAGCCTATTGCTACTGCTGTTCGAATGAAAAATGAGGCAATGAAAAATTGAATTGGATTAATATTTGGCTAAGATAGTATTCAATATTAGCCATGTTCATTTACTTCTGTTTTTTTTTGGACTTAAATTTTGATTTATCATTAGCAAATAATTCTTTTCTTAATCTAGAAAACATATAGTTGTTGTTAATAAAATTTCTGTTTTGTAAACTTGATAGAAGGCGCTCATATTTTCATTATAGAACATGCATAGATGGGTAATTTATTATCCACTCGATTGGGTTTCTCATCACTATTTCAGCATAAATCAAAACTACGTGTCAACGATGGTGATCAAACAATAGAAGAAGTGTCGACACTAAATGACAGTAATCATATGTCGATAAATGATAACGATGTTTCTTCAAGTAGTATACATTTTGTTAGCGAATTTGTACCCGAACGCTATTTAGTTTTACTGACTGAACAAATGACTGAAATGCTATTCCGTTTGATGACTTGTAATGATACATCAACAATAATGTCTGAATGTAGATATGATCATCGAACACCATTAGATATTAGTGCTGGTAGTGGTAACGTATCAACACCAAGTTCAAATTCTACCAATGGCCGACCTTCATTACAATTACAGTCAATGCATCAATCGTGTATCAAATGTAAAAGAAAAATGTTGACTATTGAAGAATTTCGTGAATTACATTGTTAACATTTGTTTTACATACGAACACTAAGTGTTCGTATACATTTGATCTTACTACATTCTTGTTTGATACTCTATCTGTCTGTTTATTTCATAAATAATAAATGCTTATATATACAAATATTAAAAAGAAAGCATAGGAAGACAGAAAAGACAGAGGACAAGTTCGAATATGTTAGCATGGGTCACGCAACAGATTAAAGTAAAAAGATAAGATTGAAGAAGAAAAGAAACGAAAATATCAAGATGTATTTTATAGTTTACACTGTAACATATATCAGTTTTCAAAATGAGTCACAAAAAATGTGACCCGACCTGAGCTAATCCGAGTACAATCGGATCCACCCGAGGTCAACTATTGCTTTCGTGACTCACCCAGAGTCAGACGCTGCAATAAACATCGTATTTGTCCTCATCATAAAAACTGGCCTATATTCAGTTGTTAATCTATAGTTTCGTACAATGCAATATGTTAAACTACAATTTTCGACCTTTAATTTGAAGCAAAGTTGGAAAATTTTCATTTTACATAATGCTGTCATAGACGTCTGATACTTTAAATCACGAGTAGTGTTAACTCAAGTTTATTCAGAAAAAAAAACATTTCAAAATCTACCATATCGTTTTTAAGAAGATTGGAACTCAACATGAGATTTTTCGAAACTCTCGACATTCAAAGATCTTTGCTTGAGAAAATTTTCCAGAAGTCATAGATAATCCATTGAAACAAGGATAGTGTAAGCTTCATGTTCATCGACAAAAGTTAGAGTTTTTACGGAAGTATATCAACTATATAAGAAATTCAGTTTCGTCGGATTGACAGTTGCTCCAAAGCAATGAGTTTTAGAGATGTAGCTTTGAAAATTTTTCCATACTGAGTATGTTTTATGCTCTATCCTATAGTTGAATCGAAATTTCAAAATAGGGTTCACAAACAATATAATTGACAGGTTTCGGTGAGTATTTTTCAATAAAATCAACTATCGAGCTTGTTTTACTGAAATAACAGCATGATTCGGATGAAATTCAAATCTCCATTTGTACACAACTCGAGAGAGCTACAAGTCAAACATACTTAAATCTTACCAGGAGAGAGTTCTGTAAAAAGTAGACGGAGTTGCGTTGAAAAATTTTACTAATATTTCAGAAAGAAAATCAATTTAGATAGTTTAATCATAAATCAGTCACTTGTTTTTTAATCATCACTGCAATTATTCTATATGAAAGAAAAATATAGATACTGTACAATTGTATTAATAAATAATAGTGCTCAACCAAAGAGAATAGATGCAATTATACATGATAATTGATTTATTTAAAAATAATTCGATCTATATTTTTATTATCAATGCCAATGCTTTTTCTCATGTCATCATTAAAACAACTGTTTATTTATTAATCGATACATACCGTATTTCACGAAATATATTAGTCATGAGATTAGAACAATCATGTTCCTGTCATTTTAATAGAGTTGAGAAAAATTCTAAGTGATGATATGATGAAATGGACATTTTCATAGATAAATCAGTGAAATAATCTATGAATTAAAGTCGTAACATTATCTAGAATTTTCTTTTATTTTTATGTCTTTGTATTCTTACATTTTTTTTCTTCATCTTAGAAGGATTTCGTTTAATAATAAATTGTTATTGATATCACTCAAAAAGTCAAACGTAAAAGAAGATCTGACATTGTACGGTATGAATTTGAAATATCAAAATTTCAAGAAAAGAATCATCGAGACTTGCCTTAAGAATTGTTTCAAAAAAGAAAAATTGAACTTTTCTTGTCTGTTTTACATTACAATTAAAACTTTTAGAATAAAAAACCTTCATATTCTAGAAAAAAATATTTTGTGAATAAAAAAAAATTTGTCATTCATTCCCAATCGTTTTTCTCGTTATATGAGAAGATAAAAGATCAGATTTTGAAGATTCATAGAAGAACACTTACTTCTTCATGATCATTGACTTTAAGAAAAGCTTTGATACTAATAGTTACGTGTATGCTCAACCGAGAAAAATTATACTAATAAACTTGCCACGCTTACAGTAAACAGGTGCTATGAACTGAAAATACTAATGTAACATCATTTCAACGATCAATCTTCAATACAACTACCAGTTTTTATGAAATTTATCTTGAATATGTCATACACTTGTGTAAAACCATTAGAAAGTAGTGATTTCTTGTTGATGATATGGAATTCTATATTTGTATAGTATATGATGCTTGAATTTTTATACTCTCTATTCTATTTAGTTATAAACATGATTGAAAATTTTCTAATGCTTAAATATTTAAAATACTCGAGTTCACAATGTCTCACTGGAAACTACCGTGAGTCTTTTCTCTTCATCTATCGACTCTTGCTGAGTCATAGCAAATGTAGGTGATTTCAATTGATAGACAAAAGCGACCAACTACTCTAATTGGTTAATATTAGTATAAAGTCACAGCTGATTTTTTTGAGCAAAAATTTTGGCTATTGATTAATCGTAAGTTTTGTTATGCTCATACATCAATATTTGCTTTCTTATTTTTTTATACACGTTTTAATTATCCGTATCGGCTATGTTTTTTTCATCATTTTATCTCATAAATAATTTTATCCCGCCTTCGTCTTCTTTTACGGCCTTTCATTCTTTGATATCACTCAAAGAAAAAGGAATCAAGGAATTTTTTTTGTCATATGAAGATGCACAACAATCGAACAAAACATATGGCTGTTAATGCATCATAATGAAGACTATTATTTTTCTTCAAACGCTAAACGACTTGTTTCATTTTATAAATAATTTAATTATCAATATACGTCTACTATTAACCATCAAAATAAAAAAAATTCTGCACTCTAATTCAACGTAGAAATTACAATATTTTTTATGATGTCTATTTTTCATGGAAGTTATGTGATGTATACACGTGTATATGAGCAAAAGAATCTCAAAATGGTAAACGAAAAGAAAAAAAAAAGTGTGCAACGAAGCAAGACGAAAAGCGCATGTGCATGCATTTGTATGACAATACTGACGATAGTCACAATATGTTCACAGGATACTATGGTCGTCGTCGGCTAAAAAGTATATTAGCACTATGTCTCGGTTTTCTAGTCTTGATAGCACTTCTCTATGAACCACAAAGTAAAGATTTTCATTTATATATTTATAAGAAAAATTATTCTTCACCATGTAATTATTTTATTTAGAGCAAGGACGTCAACTATATACAGACTTGCCACCACCTACTCAAGTACAGAAAACTCCAGCACCACCCTTGGCACCAATACAAAAACGACCAGGTGTTATGTCCTTTGTTGAATTTACTAACTCGCCTTATTTAGTTTTTCAATCACTACCCACTAATTTTATACCCATTATGATTTTATCTAAAGCAACTAATATTGAAGTACGTGATGCTATACGACGCACATGGGGTTTTTATAGATCATATCGGAATGATACTCTACGAATGAAAGTATTCTTTATTGTTGGCATTGATGATTTTATGACACAACGCATACGTACAGAACAAAATGTTTTTGATGATGTCATTCAAATTGCTGTGCCAGATATGTATTCATTTTCAGCATACAAAGAACTTTCTGCTATGGTATGGGTACGCAGTTATCTGCCGAATGTACCATTTTATATTAAAACTGAAGATGATGTTATTATTAATACGAAAATATTAGCTGAACGACTCTTACCATTAATCGAATCTGTTGCTAATCAAAAACTAATTATCGGTTGGTTTGGTTCAGACAATGCTATACAACGAGGGTCCTATCAAAAATATATTGATGCTGTGATGACACAAACAACTGGTGATGTACGCTATGCAATGAGTTTATTGTATGCTGTGACAGCTCCTGCTGCTGATCGTATGATTAAGACAGTAAGTCAAATTGAACACATTGATTATCCAGGTGATCCATTTGTGACCGGTATTCTTCGAGATGCAGCACAAGTTCAAACGACTAATTTAGCAACATCGTCAGAAAATTTTAAATATGAATTAGCAAATGGTAAATGTAGAGGTGCATTCGAAAAAAATCGAAATTTATTACTGTGTACATCATCATTACATGTTGGTCCAATTGTTTCCATGACTGAATATTTTGAAGCTTGGAATGTGGTAATCGGACAACCGCAACCATAGATTGACATTGATATTACTTAAGAGTTCATTCTGATAATGCGGAATTTGAGAGAATATATGAATAGATAAAATAGAAAAAAAACTGTAAGCAAAAATAAAAAACAAAAATAAAATCGATAGATTGTTTAATTTAAATCGATTCTGTTATTCATACAAAATATGGATTTTATGTTAAAGCTAATTGACAATGAATAAAAAAAACACATGTATAATATCTCTTGTGATCTTTTATAATAAAAAATAAAACTCAAAAGAAAATCTATATCTATATATATATGTTAGTGATTGATTGTTTCAACGATAGAGGTCGCATACATGTGATGAAATAATAAATCACTAAGTTTTTCAAATGATCCAACGGACACACGTACTTTGTTCGTTTATACTGGTTTTAAAAGAAAATATCTGAATCATCATTATTACTTATTTATTGAGGAGTCAATTGTTCGCTTAGTCTTTTCTCTGATCATAAAATTATTCCAAATGGCATCAGCTGCTGCTCCTACTATCCGTCGTATTCCACCGCCACGCATTTACAGTATGTGATAATCTTTTAGAAAAATCATATACTTGTCCTATATAAATCTTTCTTCTATAGCTTCTATTAATCGACGTCGATCAACAACTGAAACAAAACAAACTTTTGTCTATGATAATGATGATGATCATGAAAAGTTAATTGAAACAAATTTAATAAATATTATTTTTAAAAATATAGATATATTCTATTTAGATGTCTTATTCAAGAGAATGAATTACGTGAACTTAATCGACGACAGTTAATAAGAATTCAATTACTTGAAAATGATTATCGACAATTAGATGATGATATGGCTCAATTACAAAATGAACGTGATCTTTTATTAAAACAAAAACGAACGTAAATTAAGACATTATTGCAAAACAAACAAACAAAGGAATTCAATTTTAAATTCTTATCTCATTTAGATTAGAAGAAGAACTTGACCGTTCATCTTATCATGCGTCTGCTAATGTTGATCTTCATGTCTATACACAAAAACTTGAAAATGAATGTCGTGATTTACAATGTCAAATAGCCATGCGTGAAAAAGAAAAAATTGAATTAACTGAAATGATTACAGATTTTGAAGTTCAAGTGAGTGCACTTTAACATACCATATCTTTAGTTAAAGAAAATGAATCTTTGTAAAACAAAGTCAGTTCATATTCAATGATGAAACACACATAAATGAATTCATTACTTTATAGGAATGATTTGTTAGAACTGAATGAAAATGTCGCATTTCTATAAAACTATCTAATATCAGACGAATTAGCTAATCACCTTCATAATATAACTTGAGTCAACTTTACCAACAAAACATACATATTTTTTTTTCTACAGTGATTTCCTATGTTTAGTTGAGACACACATTTACCTTAGTAATCTCTTTTGTACTACCCTATCTACAACCAAACGATAATTAATAACAATTTATTTTCAATTTTTAAACTCTTTTCAAACCATAGATTCTTTGACTTTTAATCTGTTTTTTTAAGCTTCATGTAAGATCGTAGGAAAATATTTAACAACAATATTTTTCTGTAATATTAAGGAATTAGCTCAAATTTAACTAATGATTTCAATAGTTAATGAAGTTTTTTTTATCTAAGACATTTGTTAACAAAGTTTTCTAAAAGAAAAAAAAATAGATACAGTAATTTTCAGATCATTTTTAAGAACACAAAGTGAGTCGTTGCTGCATATTCTACGACGTTCCCTTAAAAAATTAAAATATCACAAACATCAAAACAAGATGTTTTTTGTGATACTTTTAACTTTTTTAAATGAAAGACGTAGAAACTGCAGCAACTCTTCACTTTGTACTCTTTAAAATAGCTTTGAAAAAATAAAAGATAGTTTCTTATACTTGAAAATTACTTTGTACGGTTTTTCAAACACCTTACCATCATAGTTCATCTATGTAATCTTGCTACAGAAGAATGCATTGAGGAAAAAAAACCGTTGTTGTTAAACTTTGATATCATAGCAGTAAAATTACAGATACCATTATTTAATTCTTTAACATCTATATAAATTTATTGAATCAAAATATCAAATGGTTGATATGATGTTTTTTTTTCTTCAGATTAAACAAGCACATAATCGACAAGAAGAATGGCGAGATGCATATAATGAACTTGAAACTCTGTTAACAACAGAAACAGTATATAATTGAAATAGTTTAATAAATTCTACTGAAAATTCTTTTTCTTGTTTTTCTTCGTAGGAAAATCGTCAATGTCTTGAAATTCAATTAAAAGAAGTTAATCTACGTCAAAAAGAAGTTGATTAATATAGAATAAAAAATATTTTTTGTATTTATTTTATTCAATAAAATATTTAGAATGAAAATCAAATACTTCGTTTACAAAATGATTTAGATGAAGTTATTTTAACAAAACAAGAAATTGTTAAATCAAATTATATCTTAGTTCAAAATGCTGAATCACTTCGTGAACAACTTCGAACGTTTGTAGAAACAAAAAAAAAATCAATAATCATCAATAAAAACATATTTAGTTTTAATTATGACATTTCAGAGTTCGCACTCAAGCAGCCGAAATTCGAATTATTTCTACTTCATCAAGTATATCATTTGATAATCTTGATGAATCATTACCATGTCTAATCTATGATAATGATAATAATGATGATGATACACCAGATTATGAAACTATCAATAATCAATCTGGAACTTGTCAATCATCATTATTTAGTGAAATAAATTCTCTAGTATGTTTTAACTGATATATATGGATGAATTGCAAAATTATTGTACCGTTGGATTCCCAAGATGTAAAAGTTTAATAACTTCAGTTTCTCTCAACCAATCTTTATGAATTTTTCAGGTTAGACGTCTCTAGTTAGTGCTCTCTACCACACAAAAAAATCACAAATTTATCTCGCACAGAGCCTGAGATATCAGATGGTCAAGGTTCAAAAGTTCGATTTTCACTGACGTGCAATGAACAAAAATGTCATATGACCGATTGATTCTCTTATGGTTTGAATTTGAAAGTTTCCAATATTTATAGTAGATAGTGTACACGTTTCAGATATGAGGCAGGTTGGCTCTTCCATCATGGTTCTGATTATACTTTTTCTTGAATATCAGGTGTACCCTCAATTCTTAGTTTTGTGTCACACGAGATTTAAAAACGACCTTGCCATGCAACAACACATTAAAAATTGGTCGAGCTGGTGTTGAACGAAAGTCAATTAGTGGGAAATAAAACTGGCAAAGAGAAATGGAAAGTTGTCCTATTTCTTGTTAACCAAACGATGTAAAATAAAAATTGAAAATTCAGTGGTCACACTAAATGTCACACGAGACGGAAATACTTTGTTTGCCATATAAGTCTCTTAAATTAAGGCAGATTGAGGTGAAATTTTGATCATTTTATCTACTAGTTGCGGTCAGGTATTCTTGAAAACATTGAGGTCAGAACACTTATCTTTCGTATCAAAGAGAAAAAAATAGTGTTAATATGTCACACGAGATTTTTTGAAAAACTATCAGGTGGGATTTTTATGCATATAACTATCTCATAACTAAGACTGAAGTACATATATTACATATTACTTGATTTCGTGTTTAAGTGATTATCAAAACTCGTGCGAGCACCCTCTAATTTGTTTCTCACAATTCACAGAAAAAGTCCAATATGATTATGAATAAGAAACAACACTATTAGAGTTATGTGATCGAGCTTTATCGAACACATAACTCTCAACCATATTTCGAGTGATATAGACAAAGTTGTTTCTATATATAAACTGAAGTATTTTCAACGCGTTCAGCAAAACTCTCGCATTTTAGTAATTTTTCGACATAACAGCAACACAGTCGTATTGAAGCATTTTTCATGGGCTTTGAATGATTCTCTTATATCGCAGCCATACTTATAGTGGTAGTCGGGAAAATTTATCCTTTTTCTCTTCTCATATAGTACAATTAAAAACACGACTTATCAGCTTTCGAATCGAAATTTTTTTTCGTTCGTTTTTGTTGTCAAAACGGTACAATAATTTTGCAATTCATCCATATATATATATATATATATATCAATTTAATTCATATTGCAATAAATAATTTCTATTCTAAGGAAACAATGTCAAATGAAACTATTACAAAATGTCTTAATGGTACAACAAATGATATTGAACTTGATTTACTTTTAGCAAAAACAACAACAGATTCATCTTCATTATCTTTAGTTAATCAATTAGTTAATATTATTATTTTCAATAGAAATAATTGAAGATTATTTTTGTTTTTGCGTGTGTTTTTTTAATAGATTAATGAAGTGAAATATCTTTATAAGGTTTTAATTGAACAAACAAATCATGATTGTCTTTTTAATCAAGAACAAGAACGTTTATTAAATATGAAAACATCACTAAAACGTGTTCTAGAAAATATTCAAGTTTTTGATACACGGTAAATATAAAAAATGAAATGTGAAAAATCTAATATTATATTTTATTTTATTTTATAGATTTCGTAAATTACAATTATTATTGATTGCTAGTCGAGGTACGCAATGAATAAAAAAATATTATAGGATTTTTATTTAATACAATAAGAAGAAAATAGTCAGAAGTATAGTGAAATAATCGAAAATATGCACTTTTCCATCATTCAATATTCTAATTATTCTGTTAAATCTCTTAATACCGAAGCTATACAACTGAACAAGTATGAGTTTTCTTGAGTACATGTACGTACTCGTCCTTACTCAACTGTGCAATGTCAACATATTTTTGGTTAGCATCATATTATGTTTTCGACTTGAGCATTTCTACACTTTTAAGCTCTTTATCTTGTCTTCCAGTAGAATCTAACCAAATAGTCTAAAAGTAGGATTGTCGATATTTTTCAGGAGTGTGAGCGTTTACAAGTGTCTCGTCGAATGTGCTTTTATTCTTGGAGTGCTATAAGTGATGACTGGCGAAAGAGGAAAGAACGAAACATACCGTGTCCTGACTCCTCCCACAATAGACCATCTGCCACCAGATCGTCTCTCTTTCAACCTTATTCATCTTGCAACGACATTATCTACTTATTTTTATTTTTACTTTTCATTAAAGACAGGCAAATGTGGTTTCTGTCCTAAGTTTCTACAAAGTTGTAAAAAAATTGCGAGAAAGTTGGACATTTTTCGGAAAACTTTCCTTCATCCACTTATAGTCTTCAACTATTTATTAATAGAACAACAGCAATGTCATCAAGCTGAACTAGATGATTTCTTTCGTCTTGTTGATAAACGTCTTCTATCTGAAAATGACGAATCATCTAAGAATTCAACAAATCAACAACGTCGTCTTATATCTATTCTTGAAGCATATGAACATGAACTTGATCGTTTACGTCGAATTACTCGTACTAATGATGATACTGTATTAAATAAGTTTTTTTTTAAAATAATTATTATCGTAAGTAATAAAGAATTTATTTTCTAATAGATTCGTTCATATGAACGACAATTGGTCGAACAACAAAATATGACAAGTAGATGGCGAATGAAAAATACATTTTTAGAAAAAAATCAACGAAAATTACTTGATAAAATTAAGTAAGGATATATTAAATCGAATGTATTAATTATTCATTTATTTTTTTTTTTCACAGAGAATTGAATACCGAACGTCGACAATTAACTGGTACATGAATTTTATCTATATATATTTTGAATGAATATGATGAAATAAAGATTTAAATGATCGTAGTTAATAAAGTTAGAATAACAATAGATTTCTTTATATGATTTAATATAATTTTATTAATCATGTTAAATAAGACTATAGATCGAAACTGAGACTAGATTTTGATTTTATTTAAAAGTTAGATTGATGCTCTCAAGAATAAAAGATCTATAAACAATACAATACTGAAAACTAGTTCCTTAATCATCATAGAGTTTAAAACTATACAATACAAAACAAAGAAAAAAAAACAGAATTTTCTCGTAAAAAAATTCTAGAATCATCAACACAAAAACGAACTCGTCGACGAGCACAACAAACAAATCAAGTCGAACAGCAACAAGAAAAGGTAAATATAAATACTAATTTATTAAAGGAAGAAAAAGCATATCTCTGTATTTCTTCATACGTCTTCAAATCAGTACTTTTTCTTACATGAAGGTCGCAAGAATGACACTATTCAAGAAATTAGGTGTAACCTCTCGAAAGTAGATGTTTATCTTTCTGAAATTCGCATGACTCTATTTGAAGAGAAAACTTGAATAAAAAGAACTGCTTCGATACTACTTCGAATCTCATCATATTTCTGTATATGTTTGTGTATTCTGTAACTGTTTTCTCCATTATCTTTTGTACAATAATTATAATGATCATATGGAAAGTACTACATTTTTTTGTACATTCTTTGATATAGTGTATCTTAAAAGTCTCGCATCACTGAGTTTTTTTTTGAGTCATGTATTTAAACTACCCAACATCAATTTAATTTGACTATATGTCTGTATAGTAGAGGTCGAATACTCTGTATGCTACACACCTGTTTGATACGATAAAGCCTTGAGAATGAGATACAATAAGGAAAAAAAAATGACAAAATGATATTATTGTTACAAAAAGACCCTGTCACATTATATCATCTATTCAAAATTGAGAAACTTAATATATCATATTGTAAAATTAGTCAAGGTATGTCGAATGGCATATAATAAATCTTATTCTCATAAGACTTTCAAGGAATTAGGATCAATGTATGTATTGATAGACGCCGAAGGCATTCAAAGCATAATCAGATACTGATCATTGTAATTCTTGATATTAGTTGAAAGTGTTAATAAGATTTTTCTATTTAAAATTTTGTAAAGCTTTTTACAGACTGTAAGTTCATATACTTAACATCCGCGATCATTCTCTCTATGATAGCGAACAATGCAATTTTTCAATGATAGTAAATCTTCGTATTTTTAATAATATCAATCATAGAAGATATGATTAGACGCCAAAGTTTTTCAGATATTGTTCACGAGGTAGTATTTACAAAACACACTATTTGAAAGTTAAAGTGTGAATGTGGTTGAAAGAAAGATTCATACTCTCGTGATTCTGAATAGGTAACTGAATCTAATAGGATCTTTTGTAACAATAAGATGGTTTTGTCATTTTTTTTCATATTGTGTTTGATTTTCAAGGCTTTATCATATCAAACAGATGTGTATATAAAATACTCAATCTTTACTATAGAGGCGTATAATCGAATTAAATTATTGCTATGTAGTTTTAATAGACGACTCAAAACAAAAAGACGGACGAAAGTTTTCAGGTTCCCTCTATTTCATAGTACTTGCCGATACTTTTTGGAATTTCTATGCATCTGTATATTTCGGAAGTAGAGATGTATGCTTTTTCTCTCCTTTGAAACTATAATATTGTTTAGTTTCTAATACTTCAAAGTTATTTAGCCATCATTACTTTTACCACCATCATCATCATCCAAACCTGTAAATCATGATCATCGTTGTATGTTATCTTCATTATTTTTTTTTCAATTCACTAAATATATTGACAATGTATTATTTTCTAGTAACACGTTCACGTTCATTACCATATTTAAAATCTTCTGATAATGGTCATAAATCACGTAATGATTCGGATGTTGTATTAACTGATGAAATCTTCAATTCTCAATCGATATCAATAAATTATAATCGTCGTCGTATAAAACCTAATACAACAAATCAATACGTTATGCATACATCAAGTCATGTATGTTTCCAAAAAACAAAGAACAGTTCGAATATTAATAATAGTAAATATTGGACATGTAGATCTTGTCGATTTCATTGGGTATTTCATATATTTTTTGTGTTTATTATTTCTCTACTATTTTCATATATGAAATTTTTTTTTTCTCGATAAATAATCTATCAATTAATGTACTATATATTTTTTTTTTCCTTTTCCTTTTTCTTATGTGTGTGTATTTCATTTCATAATATAGTACTTCTTATTTGGTTAATATTAATGATAAGAAAAAAAAATGTATCTATGTAATCATGAACAAATACAATATTGTTTTTTTTTCTTCAGGATATTCTCTATCTAAATCGTAGATGAGATGTTTAATTGAGCGTATGTTATTTTCTGAGAAGGTCATATTCATCATTGAACATCTATATAGATAATATATACATACACTCTTATTCATTTAAAGATAGAATAAAAAAGAGAGAGAGAGAGAGAGAAATACGGACACACAACAAGAAAAAAAGAAATGACAATTATCAGACTTCAATTATTTCCTGTTCAGCAAGACGAACATGCATCATTGTAGATGATTCATTGCCTACAGCATTTGTTACAGGCATTTGAGAAAATGTTTTTAAAGTTCGTGGAATAGTATTCGAAGATGATAATGATGATGATAATGAATCAAGATGAGATGATATTGGAGAAGAAAAATAAGTTACAGTTATTAATTGACCATCAGGAGATAGACTAACATTAGATGGACTAGGTGGTGAAAATAAACGTTGCTGTTGTTGTTGTTGTTCAATACTTGATGATGTTGTTTCATAACCACTGTCTCGAACACCACGATTAGAAGATGATGATGATGAGGAATGCTCTTAAAAAAAAATATATATATATATATAAAGTCATAAAATTTTTGATTTTTGATTATAAATAATAATAATAAAAATATTTACGTTCACTAGAATGAATAAATCCAATAATTTCATATGGATTATTATTTGATTTTAATGAAAATGTTTTAAATTCATTTATATTTTTTGCTATTGATGATGAAACTTGATTAAATTGACTTCGAAAATGCTAGAATAAAAAAGAAATTATATAGATAGATTCTGTAGATGTATTCATTTCTTTATAAATTTCTATCAAAATCAATGTATTCAACTGTCATTTTGTTTGTTATTAATTACACTTTCATTGTAACCATGATCTGTCATGTTATATTTGTTAATTAGAATGGATTAAATGAAATTGAATACTACTCAAGATTTCTTGTACTTTGCGTCATCTCGCACGTACTCATAAATATATATATATATGTATATATCGTATAGTATCGAAAAAGGCTTAGTCAATTCATGACACATATATAAATATATCTCAAGGGCAACATGGTACCAATAAAATCATTTGTTGCCATTGAATATTGAACGTGCATTCAATATATTTGTCGCGATTACATGTAAATTTGATTGTTCGAGTTGCCAAAAGCGAGATAGTTGTCGGTTGGTGACATTAAATAGATAATCAAATTTATTTAGTACATTCTTTCCACTCTAATGCTCGTTCACACTTGACAGACAAGTGTGCAATTCTTTCTTAGTCTTTGTCCTATTCTCATCATCTTCGCTTCGTTATCGCTATTTCTTTTTCTTTTTTGCCTTCTCTTATCCATCAACGGAGACATTATTTGAATGAATTTTTAATTATAAAATGTGCCAAACAACAATGAACAATGTTGTCGTTGTTGTTTCTCTATATTGTCACTAGCAATGGTGATATTTGGCACGAGTCACTGAATCATTGAACAATGAATATGGAATGTCACAGCAAGGGGTAACATATGGAGACGGAATTAACGTCAATTCGTACGTTCGTTTTTTTTTCTTCATCGTTCTGACACCATCTGTTCTTATTAAATTGACAAGTTTTTCTTTTTTGTTTTTTTTACCTGCTTTTGTTCATCGACATGTGGATCATTATCAATCGAATGATTAATATTTTCATCTTGAAGTATTTTAATATTTCCATCAATCAATGATGATGTTAATGAATGTTCACCTGGTCCATTTTCTAATAATGGTAATTGAGTTTCAGTTGGACCTTGAAGACGATAAAGTGTTCCACTCGTAGTATTTCTATTTCTATGACATCGTAATTTCCGTTGTTGACGTACTCGATGATGACGTAAAGATGATGATGATGATGTTGATGTTGATGATGATGATGGTGATGATGATGATGATGATGATGATAGAAAAAGTAATTTGACAGCCACTAATGCAATAATAATTGCTATTGAAAGTAAAACAAACAAAAGTATAACATTAATTAATGTTAAATCAAAATATGAATATGAACGTTTTGATGTTAAATGAAGAGCTTCTAAATATTCACGTGCTGTATCTAATATTAATGTTTGATTTGTTTCATTTGTACCAATAGCTACTACTAATTGTATTGTTCGAATACATGATTGATCATTATCATTAACTAAATCATATAAACGAAATTCTAATATATAAAATTCACGTTCAGGTAATATATAAGCATATAATAAAAATTTATTATAATTAATTTGTTCAAGTCGAAATATATCATTAAAATTCATTAATTCAATTAAACATGTATCATTATCACCATCATATATATCTAAATAATATTGATTAAAATTTTCATTTGTATTATTTAACCAAAGATCTTTATTATAAAATAATGCTGTTGAATTATTAATTAATTCTGGACAAAAATCATTACGATTAAGTATATTTATTGTTATAGATACACTTGTATTAAGACCACCATTATCAATAGCCATTATAAAAAATTTATATACTGAACGATGTTCATAATCAATACCTAAATATATAGATAGATAGATATTGTTTATTTAATATGAATTTAAGAAAAGTAAACTTACCAACAGATGTTCGTTTGAGATATAATGTACCATTTATTGTCAAAGTAAATGGCCATTGATCTAATATAATTGACTCATTACTAACTAATTCATAATGTAATTCACTATAATATTCATCAGCATCAGTAGCATGAATATGTCCAATTGGTTCAAGATGAGACCATGTTTCAGCTATATCAAAATGATATTCAGGTAAATCAAATATTGGATAATTATCATTGATGTCTATTAAATAAATAATACAATGAACTATCGATGATAATGATTTTGGTTGACCATGATCAAATGCAACAATATCAAATTCATAATAGGAATTTTCTTCACGATCAAATTTATCAATTAAATATAATTCACCTGTTGTAGAATCTAATGAAAATATTGTTTGATTTGTATGATTCAAAAATTGATATTCAATTTGACTATTTATTGTATTTTCTTCATCATTATCTGTTGCATGAAAATGTATAAGTCTGGTATTGATTGGTACTCTTTCTGATATATTTATTGAATAATATTCAAGATCAAATTTAGGTGCATTATCATTTTCATCAAGAATAATTAAAGTAAAATTTAATGTATTTGAAAGTGATGAAATACCATGATCATGAGCTTCAAGATAAATTTCATAACGTGATTGTTCTTCACGATCAAATATTCGTTGTGTAAACATAAGAAAAGCTTCATTATTTAGTAATTCTTTGATAGTTATAGTGCCATTACTTACGAGTGACCAACTTACTCGACCATTATCACCCTGATCTAGATCACTGATTGAGATGTGACCCTATTGAAAAAAATAGATAAATATAATTAACTTTTTTTTGCAGGATTATCTTTTTTAATAGCACAAAAAAAAAGACAAATTCGTCTAAGGGTGGATATAAAACATGCGAACATGCATATATATATCTTTTGGGAATTCTATTACAGAGTGACAGATTAACTTCGAACCAAGGTTGAAGGTAAAAAAAAAAGAGACAAGTAAAACTCTATTTTGTCACGCACACAATAGGAAATTGAATAAGACATATATATGGATTCATATATTTAAGTATAAAGATAAAGTTACTTACTAAAAAAGTTCCATTTGGAGTATTTTCACGAATACGTATAATACTACTATTTAATAAATGTTCAACACCTGATATTGGATCATCATTAAATGTTGGTGTTATTAATGGATGATTATCATTTTCATCTTTAATATCAATATCAACAGTAGCAAATGCTGGTATTGAACCTTGTTGTGGTCCATTATCTTGTGCTTTAATTCTCATACGAAAAACTTTTTCTTTTTCATAATCAAGTTTTTTTCCAAGACGTATTTCTCCTGTTTCTTTTGATAATAAAAATGTTCCATTTAATGGTGGATCTAATGAAACAATTGTATAATAAATAAGACCATTAAGACCTGTATCACCATCAAATGCATGTACACGTGCAACAAGTGAACCAATTGATGTTGATTCACTTAAAAGTACACGTATATCAGAACGATCAAAAACTGGTGACATATCATTAACATCAAGAATATTTATTCGTACATGTAATTTACTTATAAGTGGTTGTGGTTGTCCACCATCATATGCTTGTATAATATATTTTAATAAATCACATAATTCTCTATCAAGTATTTTCATAAGACGTAATGCAAGTAAATCATTTTTTTTTGAATATTCAATTTGAAATGCTTGTGAAATTTTATTAAGAGAATTTTTTGTTATTGTTGAATTTTCTTCAATAAGTTTATAACCTTGTATAGAATTGATACCATAATCACGATCAATAGCAACATCAAGTGGTATTAAATAACCTATGGGTACATTTTCTAAAACATCAATTGTTATGGAAGATTTTGGAAATTCTGGTGCATGATCATTACGATCATCAATAATAATTGATAAATCATTGAAATAAATTTGTCCTATATGTACACATATAACTTCAAGTATTATTTCACATTTTGAACATGAACACATACGACGAAGACAAAAATCATCACGATCAATTAATTTTTTTGTCATAATACGTCCGGTATATGGATCAATAAGAAAAAAATCATTGGAATTTTTTTGACTATCAACAAAACGATATGTACCAGTACTATTTTCTGTTTTACAACCATCTGTTATAAATGTATATATTGATGTACCAATTGGTAAATCTTCAATAATATGTATAGATTCTTTTGGTATAGATGAAACTAATAATAAAATATTGATAAAAACTAAAAATTGAAACATTTTCTTTTATTCTTTAATTGTCTTGCTTGGCTAATTTAAACGAGCAAATATTGTCATCATCATAAACTGTACCACTGTATGTATGTTTGTATGTGAACAGGAACAATCTGTGATGGAAGAAGAGAAAGGATTTCCTCATTAATATACGACATATTGAACACACATACATATAGACACAAGAGAGAGAGAGAGTGAGC